TATTTCGTTGAATCAACTAATCACACATAAATGAATAAATAATTAAAGCACGTTTTTACCTCTTGTAGCATAGAAACTATATATATGAAAAGGTGTCATCCAAGTGTCCGACCCTTACCGATAATCCGCGTAACTCAAACACCCATAAGAGAAGCTACGAAATAGTAAATTGCTAGCTCCAATGCTTTTGTATAGTTAATTTGTTTTCTAAAAAATTAGTCGAGTTTTTTATGGCAGCCTCTAAAGAGAAAGAGAGAGAGGTATGTACGACAACTTAGGCTTTTGAGGGAAAACATTTTTTTCTCTTTTTTCTTGCTATCATGTTTTTCTTTTTCTTTTCCTTAACTTACCTTGTCACCTCTCTCATCCCTCTTTATAAAAAGGGGTGGGAACTTCTCGTTGGAGGTTAAGGATATGTTGCCCATATGGGCTTTGTCTAATTTTATCTATGTAAACCCCGAACCTTATCCAAAAGGGTTTAAGTTTATCCTTCCATCAAAATATCTTGTAGGCTTTTAAATTAAGCCTATTAGCTCAAACTCTTTTGGCCCAATTAATTATCAATTAATTTGGACCATCTAAATAAATTGAGTCATGTATTTTAGGAGGCCCACATTAGGAAATAATTTTTCAAATAATCCTTAAATCTAAATTAGAAAACCAATTTCCTTTTTAGGTAACTATATTTCAAATTTGGAACTGATTTTCAAATTAGGAAACTAATTTCTAAAATGAAAATTTTTCCATTTTAGAAAAATTTTTCCAAAACAAGAAACTTTTCATTTTCGAAAGCCTTTTCTAAAATAGAAAACTTTCAAAACTATAAAAAAAAAATCAAAATCTTTGCTTTTCTTTTATTATGTGAATTTTTAAACTTATATTTGTGACTCAATATGCTCTTAAATATATTGACAATATATCAAGAATAAAAGATAGCTCTTTTATCTCGTAATACATAAATTAAAATTAACCTCTAGCAAGACACCATGACTACCTTATTCTTTTAAAGGATTAATTAATTCATAATTACCTTTCATGAGAATGGTTATCATACAATTCAGTTCTCATATCAATTTATTACAATATGATCTCAAACTTGGTTTATTGTTTATTCGATTATGATCATATAAGTTTTCTTCAATTTCCAAATGTCTTAACTTTAAAGTAAATCAACTATGCTCTATTGGTGTACTCCCACTATGGCCATATACTTGAGCGAGATATTCATCGAAATGTAATGTGATAACTCCTTTAGCATATAAGAAATGATATGTTCTATCTTATTCATCCACCTATCTTCATTAGATTTCTAGTACACCTAATAAATCATCCACATACAGCTATTGATTGAGCCCATCGAAATGAGTGTCAAAGTACATAAATTCTCTAATAAGATAACCGTGATGACTTCAAGTGAAAAAACCAATTATACCCATCTTATATGAGATTCCTATAGACTAAACCAAATAGGTTCTCATGTTGAGTCATATCTAATGATATGTTTTCTAACATTAATCACCTAAGTGCTCGTTATGCATCACCATGCCAATAGGTGTGAGATCTCCTACTATTATCTTATAGTATAGGCATAGCACTTATAAGTCTTATCGTTTATAGTCAACGTCTATTCTTGACAACTGCTACTAACTTGAGAAATTTAATGATATCATTTAAATGCATCAATATTTATCTAACATTAATTGATCAATCATTAATGCAATGCATATCATATGGGCTTCTATCTAATTCTATCAAATTGTAAACAACATGAATTAATAGCGAAGACTTCTTTTATTCATATATAAAAATACAACATCATAATAAATCAAACCATCCAAAGAAGGTTGAATCTTAGGTACCTATACTAATAATAAGGTTACAAAACTTCATTCATCATAGATTGGAAGGTTGATGATGCATTAGTTAATCCAAATGGCACAACCTTGAATTCATAGTAGCCTTGATAAGTTCTAAAAGTTGTCTTCTCGATGTCCGCCTCATGCATTTTGACATGATGATAGCTAGACTACAAGTCAATCTTAGAAAGGAAGTAAGATCCTTGTAATTCATCGAGAAGATCATCAATCAACATAATGAGGAATTTGTTTTTGATTATGATGTTATTGAGTTGCTTGTAGTCTACACAAAATTGCCAAGAATTATCCTTTTTCTTAACCAATAGAACTGGTGAAGCAAATAAACCGCAACTTGGTTAAATGACACCATTTTATAGCATTTCCTTGACCAATTTTGCAATTTCTTCTTTATGTATGAAAGAGCTCCTGTAAGGTATGATATTTACTGCCTTTTCCCTAGAACTAAAGGAATTGTATGGTCAAATTTTCTTATTAAAGGTAGTTTTTTTGGTTTTAACTAGCTTTATATTTCTTTAATAAGGCTTTTATCTCTCTATTCTACACTTTGATTGATTACTCAATAGCTCGTAATGGAGAAAAACTTACCAACAAACCCATAAATAGTTTCTCCGAATGTTTTATGTACATTAGAAGCTATAATCTACCGTAATTTACCTTCTTCAATGCCAATCATTCCCTTAAGCTCAATCATCCTTTCTTCCTTCTTGAACGACAGTTTCATCTTGACAAAATCAAACAAGATAGGAGAGAACATCCTAAGCTAATCCACCATTAAAACCATGTCACAACTACCCAATTTTAGTACCCACAAGTCCGTTTTAAATTCATGTCCTTGCATAAATCGTGTAAACCTCAAACTCCTTGCATGACACTTTATCATATCAACATTGGCTACTATCACAGAGAGTATGGTAGTTTTTTCAATCATACCCTTGATGTCTTTTACTACCTTGAGATTGATGAAACTATGCATGCTTCCACTATCAATTAGGATGATGATCTCCTTGTTGTTAAAACATTTCTTAATTTTGATAGTAGTGTGAGCATATTTCCTTACTAGAGCATGCGAGAGACGGTCCAAATTCCTCATAGTTCTTCTCATTTAGTACTCCATCTTCCTCATTTATTTCCTCTACATCCATAAATTCATCATCATCTTTTTTCATACCTTCTATCACATTCAAGGCCTTTCTAGCACATTGATGTCGAAAAGTGTATTTCTCCTCACATCTAAAACAAAGCCCTAATCTCCTCTTATGGTCCTACAAAGTCTCTGTTTTAGTTTTTTGTAGGCTAGTATTAGTAGGTTTAAGATGATCAATGTTTTCATTTCTAGTAAAAGTATTATAAGGTTTGTGGAATCGGTTGGTATTTGGCTTATTTGTATTGTAGGCATGGTATGTTTTAGTGTTGTTTTAAGTTGAAAAGGTTCTCTATGAAATTCTAGATTTCTTAGCCATGGCATTTACGGACTCTTTTTGCCATCTAGCTTGGTTAAATGCCTAAATCAAAGTTGTAGGTTGTAGGATCTTTAACATAAGTTTGATGTCTTTCTTAAGTCCACTAATGAAGCTAGACACAAAATAAGACTTAGCCAAATATGAATTATTAGGTGTCATTAAAGACTTAAGCTCCTTAAACTTCTTCACGTACTACTCCACTTTTTGTTCTTGTTTAAGTTTACTAAACTCCTCCACTACATCCTCTCTACTATCAAACCTTTTACAAATCTCTCCCATAAATTGTTCCCATTTTCCTAAATCACTTTTGATCACAAATCCTTCAAATCGGATCTCGACTCTTCCTTTTAGATATATGGAAGCAATTTCCACCCATTGATAAACATGAAAGTTCATATTGAAATACTTCTTACATTTATGAATCTAGCCTCTAGGATGTTCTCCTCCAAACAAATGCAAATCTATCCCGAGTATTGAAAAATTATAGCCGGACTTCACAATCTCAAGAATTAACAAAGGCTTACCACGGATGAGCTTGATGAACTAGTTTTGTGGCTATATTTCCACCATATGAGGAACTAGAAGATGCTCGTTGTTCTTTCTCAACTTCCTTTTTTATCATTAATGATTGAATCGACTTCATTAGAGCCTTAAATTGAAACTGTGTTTATGGATTTTGCTCCTACATTTGCTTTCGTATGGCTTCGATACCTTTTTGAAATTCTTGGTGCATGTCTTGCTTATGCTTTTCTTACCTTCTATTATGCTCTTTTAGAGCTCGATTTTATTGTTATTCACCATAATTGGTCCCGATTAACTCTAATACCAAATTATTAGGGTTTCTTTAATAGTTGCGTAAAATGAAGAAGAAGAAAAAGGAGAAGAATTGAGAGAAAAATTGTATGTTTCTTTGTTACAACAATCAAAACAAATATGAATGAATCCTCATCTCTCTCTTAACCACTTATACTATTAACCCATGCCATCTTAGCAATTAGTTACATTAACTAATTCCCCTCCTAACTATTGCCACATTAATAGATTTTCAAATCTTATTTATCCTAACAACATGAATTATAAAACGAGTGTATAACGAGTAATATAATAAAATCAGATTTTAGTTTTCACATATATACAATGCAGCATATATCAAGTAGTACATGATGGGGATGATTTTTATCTTATTCACTTATAACTAATTTCTTATCCAAATATTTATATGCATTAATTTATTTTAGGATTTCCTAATCCTTTTCAATAATTAAGTGATAGCTCCGACTACTTCGCGACCTCTATCGACAAGAGTAATTTACTAGAATCAACAATATCTGTCACAATCTTTATGTCCATCGCCACCATCTCAACTTACGTTGCTACCATCTACGCCACTAGTCGCTAAGACCTCAACCCAACTCCCTCTCAATATTTATTAACGACCAAAATGAGAAGAACTTGCATATTGTCGTGTTTGTATCCGTATTTGTATCTGTATTGTAGCTATATTTTCTTTTTGTATCCATGGTTTTAATGATATACTTTTTTAAATATCGGATCGACCCCTCTCGATTCAACTGTTTTTTTCAATTCGACCGGCTCACCCGACTTAGTAACACTGATTATATCTCAATCTGATCTAAGGTTACTTCCAAGCCAAACCACCACCATGTCAACCACCAGCATCAACGCCTACACAACCACCGAACCACCACCACCGCAAATCCTAATCCCCTCCCTCTCAAATGATATCGCCTTAAGCATCTTAGCCCGCATCCCAAGGTCCCATCACCCACTTCTTTCCCTAGTCTCCAAACCTTTCCGTTCCCTCCTTTCGTCTCCTCTATTTTACACTACTCGCTCCCTCCTCAACACCTCTCAACACTTTCTCTACCTTTCCCTCCGCATTCCCACCGCAACTTCCCTGCATTGGTTCACACTCTATCAAAACCCCACAAAGAATTCCTTAATTCCCCTCCCTCCCACTCCTTCCCCTCTCGTGGGTTCCGCTTTCGTCGCTGTGGGACCCAAGATTTATGTCATTGGTGGCTCGATCGGTGACATCCCGTCCTCCCACGTATGGGCACTGGACTGCCGCTCCAACACGTGGGAGGCTGTCCCTGGCATGAGAATTTCGCGCGAGTTTGCTGCCGCTGGAGTTGTGGATGGGAGAATTTATGTGATTGGCGGGTGCGTGGTGGACACGTGGGTGAAGTCGAGGAATTGGGCGGAGGTTTTTGATCCGAAAACGGGGAAATGGGATTCTGTTGATAGTGGAAAGGATGGTTTGTTACGCGAAAAATGGATGCACGGAAGTGCTGTAGTAAATGAGAGAATTTATGTGATGGCAGATAGGAACGGGGTTGTTTATGAGCCGAAAACGAAGAAATGGGAGACTGTGGGGAGTGAATTGGATTTAGGGTGGAGAGGGAGAGCATGTGTGGTTAATGGGATTTTGTATTGTTATGATTATGTGGGAAATATTAGGGGTTTTGATGTGGGGAATGGGGTTTGGAAGGACTTAAGGGGGTGGAAAAGGAGTTGCCTAGGTTTTTATGTGGTGCCACGATGGCGAATGTAGGTGGGAAGTTGGTGGTGGTTTGGGAAAGAAAAGGGAACGTGAAGGAAATGGAGGTCTGGTGTGCGGAAATTGAGGTGCAGGAGAATGGAGAGGGGGAGTTGTGGGGGAGGGTTGAGTGGTTTGATGTTGTTCATAAGGTTCCCGTTGGGTCGTCCATTGTTCATTGCTTGGCTGTTACACTGTGAGATCTATTGGAGCACGCCACGTATGTTTATTGTTATTGTTGTTGTTTTGTTCATATGGTATTTTTGTTATGTGGTTTTTGAACTTCAAATGTTGTCTTGATCACTATTTACGTAATTTATTTGCATATGCTAATTAATTAATTTGATATGATGCTTGATTTGTTGGGTGCATAAAGTAAGCTACTGTGTCCATGCGATAATTGCATGTACATTTCAGAAAAATTTACAGTTATTTTGTTTCTGTAAATTATGAAATTTTTGTTGAGAAGAGGGAGAGAAATTGGAGAAATGGTTAGCTAATATAGTATCTATACAAGAAATCAGTGCAAACTTATTTTAATTCCTTCCTTAATTGTCAATATTCTATGTTTCTCAATGAATGGGCAGTCAATTCACCTAATATGATCATAGAGCACAAATCATAATGCAACTTCCATGTCATAATGATGTGTATGACAATCTATAAAACATTGGATGCGAAACACTTGTCGTAGTGGCTCTGTTGTCTTATTCCACATTCTTCAACTTGAAATTACAACTTTTTGGTCATTAGCAATACAAAAGCTTAAGAATAATAGAAGATCACAATATGAAAAATTGCTTAGGAGATTCACTATTCTAAAATCAGTTAGGAGGTGTTGCTTTGATGGATAAGGGGAAGCACTTCAGGAGGAGGATCAAGGATTTATGCATCAGGCCATATTCATTGCTGCCAATTTTTAATAATTCCAAGGACAAGGAAAGGATAAATGGCACTTTTGTTGCTCAAGTTTCGGGGCAAGGAAGACTGGAGGACAGACACAATTTGAAAATCATTTGTCAGAACTTGCTTAAAAGAATTATGAGAACCTTAATCTTTTAAAAGAATTATGAGAACCTTAATCTTTTAGCTTACTGTCTTCCCTTTTTTGGTCTATAATTTTGGTGTCTTCTTCTTGAACATATAAAGGAATCCCCCTTAGAATTCATTAAAGGGTCCATGTGGGAAAGCTGTGGACTTTTAGCTGTGGCTGGTATAATTGTAAAAATGTTTTTAGTATTATGTGTTCTTAATATGCTTTAATGTTAAATAAGACTCAAAAATCCAGAAACTTCATTTTGTAGCTTCTGACTTTTGGCTTCCAAATAGCTTTCAAAACAGCTTTTAGACTTTTACCAAACACTTTTTGCAATGGCTTTTAGGAAAAAAGCCAAACAAAACCAAAGCCCCTAGTTTCCAAACAGGCAGTAGGTCTTATCAAACAAGTCCTGCAAAAAGTTATTGACTTATTGTTATAATAAAAGTCCATTTCTTCCATTCCATTACGGATTTTTTCATATGAGAGTAGAATGAAGTTAAAATATAGTTCTTTTTCATGTTTGTGGGCTGTTTCTATCATTGTTAATTTCCTGTCTTTTGCTTATTTCAAGAATCCATTATGTTCTTCTCCTGCTATTGCTCTGAACTGCTTTATTTCGCATGCAACACGTTTAGAAATGTACTTATATGTACAAGCATTCATATTGCAATTCACATTATGTTGCATTATTCATAGTCATCTCTTATTACACATACAACTATTTACATTTCAATCTTGATTTTAGTTTGTCTACATAATTTCCAGAATTTTTATTAATAAATTTTCTTAGCTAACAGTTCCAAATTCAAATTTATGCTAATTTGAACTTCAATTCTTGTCACTGTATTAGTCATTGGTTATTCAAGTTTAAGCTAATTTATTCCATGCTTGTCTTAAATTTAAAATTCACTAGATATTGCAATTTGGAGATGCCTGACCAAGATTGGAAGAAAAACAAGAGTAATAGCAATTGTTAAGTACAGATATCAGCTGGAAATTTGCCATCCCGATTGAGAATAGTGAGAATCAGCAACAGTTGACAAGTGTTCCAACTGATATTTGACAAGATGTAAGAAAGTTTTTGCTTGAAGATGCTGCTAGGAAAAAAAAAAAAAAAAGGCTTAATGGGAGTATGAGCTTGAGTATGAGATTGTGAGAGTGCGCACCATGGAGAAGATGAAGTTATGATTATGGAAGACAAGAAAGGTTTAAGCAGTATGAGAGACATCTAGAGAGAAAAAGGTTTCTGTGAATATGGTATTGGAAGGTCATAGTAGCTGTTATTATCTTGCTCTTGAGTGGTTGTATGATCCATATCGATAAGAGCCGTAGTGAATTGGTGCTTCCCCTATAAATATGTGCCAAACAAAGAAGCAGTAATATGTGTTCCTAAATTGTGATCGGATTGTGGATCTGACAATAATGATGCAGATTGGTATGAAGAAGTACCTCTATCTTCATGTTCCATATGGACCATCAAATGAAGATATAATTACTAATTTACTTCTATATCCTACCAATTTGCTTCATACTCGTCAAACCCACTATTCCATCAAGACTTTGGAGGCCAATATTCATGGGTGAGTGCAATATCTCTATGGCTCTTCTGGACAGTAAAATTTGATCTGTTATTCTTCTATGTCTTATTCAATTGAATTTTGAAAACCAGTGTGCTTGTTATTATTTATGGTAAGCCCCAGAAATGGAACCACCCCACTCAATGTTCCCGTGATTTTCTTGTTTCTTTTCTTAAGAGTGCATTTTCAGAGAATTTTTCATCTTAGCTGATATTGAAGTGCAGCGTAATGAGCACTCAAATTATGCTTGTTTATTAATCATACTACTAATCCCTGAGATTAGAAGCTTGGAGAAAATTACGGAATTTAGACCTATTAGTTTATTGCGTCTTGTATAAAATCATCTCAAAAGTCATTGCTATTAGGCTTACAAAATTTTGCCTGAGATTTGGACGGCCAGGCATATGGAAAGATTGAATGATTGTGCAGGTGGATTTAGAGGATTGGTCACGGACAGTAATGGGTATGCAGGCCATAGATCCAATCAGGGTTCATGTCTTGCTCGTTTGGTGGAATAGAAATAATGTAGCTTTTGGAAAATGGAAAACGAGTTCTGTCAGCACAAGGATTGCTTCAAAAGCTCCATTTTTTATTTTTTTTTCTGGAGTTTCAAGAGGCTTGTGCTTCAAATGCTCCAATAGATGTAGTCTCTTTAGAAGCTACAGCATTGTTATGGGTTCCGAGATTTTGCTCTAGAAATGCGGGTTGAAGATGTGGTCTTTGAAAGTGATTCACTTGCATTGGTGAATGAACTGAAGCAGGGATCTGTGCAAATGGCAGGAGATTTAATACAAGAACACAAGTAACATTGGAAGAACTTTGACAATTGAATGTGGTCTCATGTAAAGCGCACAGGTAACTTTGTTGCTCATAGATTAGCAGTGTATACTAAGTCAATTGTTGATACTAAGGCTAGGTTAGATGAGGCTCCCTCAGTTATTTCTTCTGCAATTGTATTGATGCTGGCAGTTTGCCAAAGATTTTATGCATTATCAAATAATAATAATAAATAAAATTAATAATTGCTGCTTCTTTTAAACATCAGCTAAGAAGATATTAATGTTTTCGTCAATAACAACTACCAGGACAGACTGGGGTGCAGCAATTTAGAATTGGAGCCCAGGCTTGTCGCTAGATTATTTCGTGTGCAAGTTTCTTTCCAAGTGCTCATTTTTTGCAAGTGCTAAGACTGGTAACTGCTTAATCCCTAGTGATCCAGCAAGTCATTGGCCATAACTAGCTAACATCCATTTTCATGCGATGTCTATTGCTGACTCGATGGTACTAAAGTTAGGAACTTGTACATAGTTCAGTGGGATAAGATATTTGTATTTTTACACAATATATATATACATGAACATTCTCCTGTACAGAGCACTGCCGAATGAGTTAGAAATTGATATATCCATTCGTTCTTACATGAAATACATTTAAGACGCACTTTTGAAGTGCACTAACAAGAGAAAAAGAGAAGAGGAGTGTTGAAACAGTATCCTCAAGACATCAGTAAGATTCTCATCTTTGTTTTGGAAGACTTGTGGAGTATCTCTTACAAAATCACGCATCAGAAATCAACGCCTCTCTCTTCTTCATTACATTCACCAAGCGTACAACACTCTATGCTGAGAACTACATGAGCTTGATCAACATCCCTTCAGAAGGCTTGTGTTTCAACATGCACAGCAAACTTTATTTTTTTTTTTCAGAAAAAAATCACAATCAATTCAATCAAACAAATGCTCCATCACTGATAAATTACATCACCAGATCTAACACCCCATCATGGCTTTTTTCAGGTCGGCTTGGCCATACCAAAGCTTCCAGTGACGAGCATATCATTACATCTGTTGGGGTTGCCATATAATGATCATTGCTAATTAATCAATTACCTCTGACTCCCTTGTTTTTACTATATCTCCATAGCGCTCAAAAATATGAACGAAATCCTTCAGCAGTGTAGAAATGCATTGATTAGTCCAAATCAGGGCATCCAAATGAAATGTCCAACAAGGAAGCATAGATGGAAAATATATTCATTAGTTCACTTGCCAGAACATCCTTGGGTGCATGGGCCAGGCAGGAAACCACGGAAAAATCAACAGCAAAACCTTAATTTCTAGCCTTTATTTTGATCACATGGCATAGCATCAAGTGGCACCTCACCAAATGCACAATTCAATGTTACAACACAGATCTTACATATCATTTGCATCCCAAATCCCAATGGTAATAAAAGGAAACCTGCTGCTTAATGCATCACACAAGCCACGTCTGCTACTAAAAAATAGAAACATGGTATGAGAAGCAATCCAACTCCGAAGATAATCATGAAATGCCATAATTAGAGCTTGTTAAAATAGAAGAATCCCATTGCAGCCATGCAACTGATGTCCTATAGGATATTTCCAATTTGTTCAAGTGCCTGCAAAATGTTCAACACCAACTAGTCAATCCACTAGACAGCATGATAATTATGTCGCATTTGACAAAAAAGAAAGAAAAACACAGCTCACCAGCACACAACTGTTGTTGGTGAAGTACTGAAGTTCTATAAAAATGTCAAAAAAAACTAATGTTCTAGTTTTACACGAGTAAAGAATGCATTTAAAAACATGAAAGAGACAGCGAAAGACCTCAATCGCAATCATAGCTGGTGTGATATTGGATACATCTTTATATCCTAGTTTGGCTGCAATATCTGCACAGTGGGAACACTCATATTCAGAATTTTCACTTAACTAATGTGTGAAATGTTAGCAATTAGAAAGACTACAAGATCCCAAGAACTACAAAGCAATACACAAACACATGATAACTGTAAGTTGACATAGGTTCAAGTACACGTACTTTCCAGAGAAACCCTTGCATCAGCATTTTCATAAGCTTTATGTCTCTTCTCAAATAGAGCAGACAGACGTCTGAATGCCTGTAGTAAGAATAAGTGTCAAGACAAAAGACAAGATATGATATGTTAACAAGAAAAATGTTTAGATGATGAAGAACCTACCTTGGTGTATGCATCTCCTTGTTCATTATCCAAAAGGGGGCGAGACTTGGTTCCTACAGCCATGATCCTCTGTGCCAGTTCTTCCAAAGGTACATCCAACCAGACACTAATCCCCTTCCTCATGTACATCCTAATAAAGAAGATAGAAAGTAATGCTGACTTTCAAAACCAACATACATAAAGGAAACAAACAAAAGTGAAGAATTTAAGTCTCATTTGTTATGTCCACTATCATACCAGTTTTCATCCCGTATGACAGCACCTCCACCAGTAGAAACAACATATCGGTGCTCTATTGATAGCTTTTCTAATGCCTCAGTCTGAAAGGCAGAATTACAATCATTAACGTTTGAAGGAAGAAGCAAAAAAGATAAATATACAAGCATCTGACTTTGCAAAAATGTTGTTGGAGTGGCTATAAATTTAGATTAGCAAATAGACAGAACCAATTGGATAAACCAGCAAGCACAACAACTGAATTAGCAGTCACTGTTTGAACTTATCATCAGTTCCCTTTTCAGAATGACAGATATTGCATTGCTATTAACTAAATATGATCTGGTTAAATGTGTATGAGTAAAATTTACAAAGGAGAGATTCAGAATGCAATCTTCCTAAAGCACCTCTTTATCTCTGAAGAAACCTTCTCCATGTTTTTCAAATATTTCAGCTACAGAAGTCATACCAACATCCTTCTCCACCAATGTGTCACTGGAACATGAAAATGTAGAACCATACAATTATTATTTGAATTAAAAAAGCTTGCCTTCTCTACCAATGTGCATTGGAACATGAAAATTTAGAACAATGCAATTATTATTTAAAAGAAAACAGCTTGCTGGTTAAGTGGATAACCTGCATGAGAAAGACAGATGTAAACAAAGTAATAGCACATCCAGTGCTCCACATTTCAACAAGAACTTCTAAACCATTGTACGATCAAATCCCTCAATATGGGGTCACATTTACCATGAGCCACGTTTTAATAATCCGGATCATCATCTATGAGTTCCCCAATCCCATGACCATTTTATATTGTCCGTCAGTTGAGGATGTACCTCAGTAACAGTGAAAAGAACAAAAAAGAGATTTTAATTATGTTGCATTATGAAGCATACCATTTTTTCCTCTTCCTCATTCTTTCTAGAGGCATACTAAAATCTTTCCTAGAAACCCAAATGAAAACAATCACATGAACTAACCTGTCACAGAATGAATAATGAATTGCTTGTGAGAGAATCTTTCCCACCGTGGTTTTTCCAGAGCCCATCATCCCTAAAAGTTTGACATTCATTTAGTTTACTATCAGAGTAATCAAATCAATTTCTAACAGAATACATAAGACTCAGACAAGGAAACTGACCAACAAGATATATACAACGTCCATTTAAATAGGGCTCAATCTCTTGTGACTTATTCTGCAAATTTTGTTAAACCTCTAGTAAGATACATGCCCAAAGAAATCTGGTGACCAGAAAACTGTGCCAAGTTTTAGATTGTTAAGGCCTAATTTCACAGTTTTTAAAGAAAATTGGATGCCAAAAGAACGCAAAATACAACATATTATCAAATATCTCATTCGAAACTAGCGAATATAGAAGCATATTCATACCTTCAAAATCAAAGCTTCATCGTCAAACAAATCCTGAAGGCTTTCGGATTCCAACGTTGAAACTACAAAAGTAAAAAGAATCTTTCAAAATCCAAAAGGAAAATTGGAAGCGGTCAAAACTTATGCCGAAACAATAAAGAATTCTTTTGCATTATTTAACCAGCATCTGTTCTCAAAGCACTGTTACAACATCAATGTAACGGGAAGTACAGACTTCAAAATTTTCCATTGATTATAGCCATCAACCGATGCAAAGTCCAAAAATTTTCAAAAACCATTTTCAGTTATCAGCAAAAAGAACACGAACGATTACAAATCACTCCCAATAACACTGTAGAGAAGACGCGGCGGGGGGGGGGGTGTGGAGAAGCAGCTCCAACTGCACATTCAAATAGGCTCTTAACAAACCAAAACCCAGATGTGATATATATATATATCCAACAACGACCCATCATCAAAAAATCTCCAACCAAAAGAAGCTCACAAATTCAAATGATGCAATGTTAGGGGCTTAGATATCGTACCTTGAGAATTGTTATAAGAACAAGAAACCTCAAAAGAATCCAAGCTATGTCGATTTTCATCTCTTACAGGCCGAAACTGAGCAGAAACAAACACTTGGAGTCTCTTCTGTTCCCTTAATCTCCCCGAAAACCGCAGGAAACTAGAGGGTTTTCTTGCAAATTTGTGTGCATCAATCCACGTTGTCGAAATTTGCATTCTTGGTGCAAAATTTGCCTCCATTTTTGACTGATTTATCAATCAAAGGCTCCACTTAATGTATCTGCTCTTTGACTGATTTATCAATCAAAAACTTCAATTAATTTATCTGTTCTGTATTTGATTGCCAAAAAAAAAAAGAAAAAGAAAATAGCATGATTTTCCAAAAATCAATAGCCATGACATAAAAATAAGAGAATTTAACTCACCAGTTGTTATCAGAACGTGACCAAAGCAGAGGGAAACACAAAAATGAAAAACAAGTTAGAACCCGGCCACGTCAGGCTTTGTCTTGGTTGAGGTGGTTGGGTTGGCCTCTTTTCTTGTGATTTTATATTGCAGCTGAGGTTGTTGGGTAATTCTTGCTAAAAGTATATTTATTGTGGGTCAAAATAAAATTAAAATTAGGAAATTATATATTTTTTATTTTTAAAAAAAAAAAATTAGATAATATTATATACATTAAAACTAATTTTCTATCTTGAGTTAATATATATATATACACACACAGATCCACGGCGTGGGTCAGTAAAAGCCTACCTACCACCTTGAGAGCAATTCGGAAATTGACCTCCAATTTCCTACTAACCAACCCACAAAATGGCAACCAATTGATTTTTTTTTTTTTTTTTGTGAACAGGGACCCACTGGTTGGTGAAAAGAAATGTTGTTGTTGTCAGAAAGAAATCCTCCACCAGTGTCTTCATTTAATGAGATGAATGATGATAGGAAACACAAGCTCACCTAACAACTCTTTGGTATTTTGTCCATCTAAATTCCAAATGCATAGACGGCACCCTTTCAAGGACTTCCTGATTTTTTCTTTTCCCAAGCCACCTCTATCACCGCAAGGCCTAATTCACCAAGAAAACCTATTCCTTTTCTGTGTTTGCCTTTGTTTCCTTACCAGACAATGTCTATTTTGCCCAACTCTCTCTCTGTCTATATACACATTGTATTTTATGTCATGATTATATATAAATATTCAAATAATATTTTATGCACTATAAAGTTAAAATGAAAGATTAAAAATAAATAAAAAAGAATAACACCAACGCAATTGATATCTTCATTCTTGTGTTGTGCGTCTATTAAATAGAAGAAATCATCCATCTTTTTCTCTCTCATAGATAATTTTAGGTTTTTGTAATATCTAATTACAAAGGGTTCTATGCAAATTAAATAGATGATTACTTATATACTAAGTACATCCATATATTAGATATCCATATCACTACTAATTCTTTTTTTAAAAAAAATTATCTAATTCGAATTCAATATTTCTTGTAAACCAAAACAATTCTAGAAATCGAATAAAATAGATATTAATCACTATATAGTATTTGAAATCAAATAAAATACAAAATAAATATAATAGTATGATAACTTATTTGACTTTAATATTATCAATTTCAAAAAATAAAAATAAAAATGAAAAACGTTACAATTACTAAGTGGCATCACTAAAATCAAGAAAAAATGCTAAAAAATTCTTGAAAAAATAAATTCTTAAGAGTTTATTAAAAAAAATTAAGATTTAATATAGAGAGAGAGAGAGATGTTGTTAAGTATGAGGTAGTGATCCATTAGATACATAGAGATTTAAAAAAAAAAAAAGATTACATGTAAAGTTGTTTGGTGCATACATAGGATAGCATATGTAGTTATTTTTTTCCTGTCCCACATTCCTCGGCATAAACTTGTCTTATCGTATGAGATAAGACATATCTAAGCATTTTATCCAAACTACCTCGTTTATTTCCTTAAATTTGAAACTATGCTTAATTCTTTGTACCTTGGATTTTTTATATACTTTTTTTCATGAAACAAATTAATTAAATAAATAATTTTTTTAAATAAATAATTGTTTATCAAAATTATTTTAATAATTGATTCTTGAAAATGAATAAAATTATTTACTTATTATTATTCATGGCTTCATAATAAATAAATAATTTACTTTTGTTTATGACGTTAATAAAATAACTAATAAATAAAATAATGGACCGAAAAAAATAAATTAGTTTTCTTTATTTGTAACTTGGAAATAATTGATTATATTTATCTATAAAACTTGTAAAATAAAATAAATAATTCAATAAACATTAAAAAAAAATTTATTATTTTATTTATGAAACCATAGTAATTAGATAAAAATAATGAAAATGAATTATTCGTAACATAAATTAAATGTTTTTTCCTGGAAACAAAAAAAAATGATAAAAAAAATTAAAATTAATAAACAAATTAATTATGTTTATAATTTAAAAAAAAAAGATAATTATTCTAATTTTATAAATATAATTAAGATAGGATATGGTTATCAATGTAATTATAACACGTTGTATAATCATGTCTCGTGTTTGTCCGATACAAAACAGGACAGCCCGATCTAGTATGCACCAAATAACGGACAAGCTTTTTATTTATTAGGTCTTGTATTGTAAAGTTCTATTTTATCCTTTCAATTATATCCAATAAACTGAGTTGTTGATTGGTTACTAGAAATAAAAAGAATAAAAATAAAAATTATAATGTACACATTAAAAGTTTTATTTCTACCTCGTAGTTGTTTCATTGAAATAAATAAAGTAAAAATTAAAATTAAACATAATTTTATTCTCATAAAAAAAGGTGAGACTAAAAACAAAAAATATGAACGAAATTTTTTCTTCAAAATAATGATATATTATTTTACTTTATTGTGTATTAATTACTTCGTCACTTTCGTCACCACCGCCATCATTGGCGGTGGTGCTAAAAAAAATTCAAAAAAAATATTATTATTATTATTATTATTATCGTTATTTGCAATACCCGAAACTTGGAACATTCCTAGGCATTTGTGTGTTTATTTGTTAAATATGTGCATGTTATGCTTTGTGTTTACATTGATGAATATTTAGCTTTGCAAGTTCATGTTGCTCAATGTTATGAGTGTGTGAATGACTAAGGGACTCGAACGTGATAACTAAAAGATTGATGGCTTAAGCATGCTAAATGGAAAAGTAAGTGACTAGTTTGTTAAGTCAATCAAACTTGAGGGACCTAAAAATATAACTTAATTAAGTGTCTCATACATGTGTTAACCTAGGAATAAAACTTAATTAGTATTTCATACAAGTGTTAATTTAGGTTAATTTAGAAACATCTCTTGATTAGAGGTTTAATCTAGAAAACTCTCTTGGCTTAGTAACCATACAAGTGTACCACACATGTGTTAATCCTAAACTCTCTTAAATTATCTTAAGGTTGGCCAAGAAGGAAGAAAATATCTTGAGCTTCTTGAATGTTCTAGGATGGCCGAGAGAAAAATTAAAAGGGAGATTCCTAGGCTATTTGTAGTATTTTAACCTTGATAAACATAAAAATAACAAGAGAGGAAACAAGAGAGGAAAATTGAATTTGCTAAAAGAAACAAACCTTGGTCGACAGAGAGAGAGAAAGGTAGGAGAGAGAGAGAGATGAGAAGGAAAAGAGAGTTTAGTCGAAAGGAAGGGATAGAGACTTTAGCTGAAAGTGAAACAAGGAAAAAAAGGGAAATCTTTAAGAGCTTTAAGGTGCTTTCAAAACTAACTAAACCTTAAGGTAAATGTGATCTCAACTTACCACAAGACAAAAATGTCATCGGTTTGATGTGTCATAGGTTTGTTGTGGTATGTGCTTAATTGATGATTGAATATTTATGATTATGTGTTTATTTAATGATTGGTAAGTGTAGTCTCAACTCACCACAAGACCTAGGTGTCATAGGATCTGTTGTGTGTTTATGTGTTTACTTGATATTCATGTACTTGGTTAATGATTGACCACTTGTGATGATGTACTTCACTTTAAATGATGATATGTTTACTTGATGATTAGGTGTTATAGAATTATTATGTTTATGAGCTTAATTGATGATTGAATACACGTGATTATATGTTTATTAATAATTGGTAAGTGTAACCTAAATCATCACAAGACGTAAATGTTATATGATTTTGTGTTCATACATTCACTTGATGATTAAATACTTATGATGGTATTTAATTGATGATTGAATACTTGAGTTCTTACTTGATGATTCAACTTTATGCGTTTGTTTGATGTTACTTAGTTGCATTTGTTTACTTAATATCTAGTAAGAGTAATCACAACTCTCGTTAAGTCATAAATGATTAAGGATGTTATGTTTAAGTGTTTACTTGATGATTGATGGTGTGTCATACTGCTAACAAATTAGATATTTATAATGTCCTTACAAAGCTTTTAATTACAATAATATAATTAGAGCAAGTAAGGGTCGAACCCACAAGAAGGAGGCTTAATTAGCAGTTTCTCTCGATTGATTATTCTTATAATGTAAAAGCAATAAAAAGATGTTTTGGGTTTTGAGTGTTTATAAGTAATTAAAGTAAATCAAAATAACAATAATAAAGGAATCTTGGTTGAACTTTAGTACCCACTTTTAGTTTGGTCACTAATCATCGATTAAATCATTAACTTATCCTAAACATGAATATTTATCATAGGACAACAAAATGTATGTTGTCCCTAATCTTTCCTTAGTTGTTAACCGAAGATATTGTTAGTGTTGGTTCTCAAGATCTAACCATGTTTGGATGGGCTCAAATTAATATATTATTGCATCATTCATTATAATAACGAAGTCGTTCTATTAATTCTTATATTTTCATGTTGATAAATTCAGTAGAATTAGATAGAAGTCCTTATGATATGTATTTGCAATAGTGATTGATCGAAACATGTGAGACAAATAATAATGCATATAAATGATATCATTAAATGTCCCAAGTCGTAACATTGTCAAGAATGGACATTGACCATATATGAATAAACTTATAAATGCTATGCTCATGTTATATGATAGTAATAGGAGATCTCACACCTATTGGCATGGTGAAGCCAAAGCAAGCATTCGGGTGATTTATGTTAGAAAACATATCACCGGACTTAACTCATCATGAGAACCTTTTTGGTTTTTGTCTATGGGAATCTCATACGAGATGGGTATAAATGAT